CATGCTTAGTAAGGAAATTATGTTTATACAACCTTGTCATATTATTACGATGTGGGATTTTAAAGTAAATCCTATAAGGAATGAAGAAGTTGGAGTGAAAATACCAGTTTCTCGAAAAAAAAACTAAGTTCAAGGGGGACATAATTCTGGAAATAGTCTTGCTAGAGTATTTAACCTTCTCAAAAATGTCGAGTGATAATAAGAAACATATATATGAAGTTTGAAGTAGATACATTAGGAAATAAAGTTATTTAAAAAAGACAACATTTTTTCCCCTAAAAAATCTAAGTTCAAGGGAGGTAATACTGATATTTTTTGTGCTAGAGTTATAAACCTTGTCACATATGATGTGGTTGATGACCAGAAACTTATATTTAAAGTTTGAAGTAAACACCTTAAGAAATAAAGAACTTATAGTGAAAAACCTGAAAAATTTAAATCAGAAATCTTGAAATTCAGGCTATTTGTTGCCATAGCAACCAGAATTTTCAACATAGGAAGAAAAGAAAAAGATGTGCATAATCTCCAGACTGCCATCTACCCATATTTCAAGTTTCATAAAAATATTTTCAGTACTTTTTGAGTTATCACTGGATCCAGTTTATGTGTTAAATTTGCCATATTTTCAGACTATTTGTTGCCATAGCAACCAGAATTTTCAACATAGGAAGAAAAGAAAAAGACGTGCATAATCTCCATACTGCCATCTATCCATATATCAAGTTTCATAAAAATATTTTCAGTACTTTTTGCGTTATCGTGGGATCCAGTTTTGTGGACGGACGGACTGACGGACTGACAGACTGACAGACAGACGGACAGACGGACAGACAGACAGACGGACAGACGGACGGAGGGTAAACCTAAAGTCCCCTCCGGTTAAACCGGTAGGGGACTAATAACACTTTGACATGACGTCATTTGCATTATATACAAACATCGGGTATAAGAGTTACACTTATAGGAGCATCAACAAAAAATGTCTTTTTTAACTTAAAACCATTCTTGTTTAAGACATGTGATAATAGAATATTATATTTGTGGTAGATTCAGAGGCTTGCATCATATGATTTTATTCAACTCTTTTAATAAATTGAGCAGTAAATCAACACTCATTTAATATCCTCTATAAATCACAAAATGATCAGCTGGTAAGGGTAAAATTTCTTCATTTAATTTAACAACGGGCAATACCATTTTGTTGCACATGAAAAAAAAAAATTAGCCGCGTCACGACAAAAGCAACGTTATGCATTTGCGACCAGCATGGATCCAGACCAGCCTGTGCATCCGTGCAGTCTGATCAGGATCAATGCTGTTCACTATCAGTTTCTCTACTTGTAATAGGGTTTGTAAGCAAACAGCAGGTCGCAAATGCATTACGTTGGTTTTGTCATGACGCGGCTCAAATTAGTTGTAGATTTCACCCAGACAAGTGATATGGTATATCTCCACATTTTGTAGGGCAAACATGCCATGAACATCTACTTCCAGAGGATAAATAAATCTACCTACTTTTATACATTAGTAGAAATATATAGGAAATGTTCAGTAATCATAAGTAATCGCAAGAAATGGTGCACAGTCAGTGATTGTTGTCAGGTTCAATCTGCATTAAAAGTGTAAATATATTTTGTCATTAGCCTAAAAAGTAAGCATTATTATAATTTAACATAATGATCAAATATAATTCAGAAATTATTATTTAAAGGAAAAACCCATTTGGGATGAAAAAAAGTCGACTAAAAATTTGCATATGAAAAGAGGGATCCCGTAATCATTAAAAAGCAAAAAAACGGTTTTTTTTTTCAAGGGCCCCTAAATCACCAAAAAAACATTTTAACCCGAAAAAACTGTTAAACAAAGCCCATACCCTTGGGGGTACCTTTTCAAACGTGTAAAGTTTTTTGAAATTTAAAAGCCCAGTAGTTTTTTGGGGGAGTAAATTGGCCCAAATTTTTGTGACGGACGGACCCGACAGACAGAAAAGATAGGACAAAGGAGAAGTGATCTTATATTCTTGTTGGGTACTCAAAATACCTTGGGGGTTTATCCATAAAAACATGAAAATGCATGAAATTTTCCCTGGGGGGTTGCAAAAAAAACATTTTCTGATCCTGAAAACCCTTTTTTAACAAAAAACCTCAGATGTTGGGGCCCTGTTTATAAATACAGAAAAAAAAAAATTTTAAAACCCGATAATCTTACCCAAAAACAAAAACTGCAGCTTTTTTTAAGACAACATATCACTTAAAAAAAATATTTTAAAAATCATAATTATGACAGAAGAAAGTTTAATTGCCTTTAAAAAATCCTTTAAACTTCACTATAAAATTTTTTATTATGGGTAAAAAAGGGGAAAAAGGTAATTTTTACCTTTTTTAAACCCCTTTGGGGTTTCATTAAATGGTATACTGGGCCTTTTGGGGGTTAAACCCTAGGGGAAAAAGGGCCCCATTTTTTTTAAAATAATTAATTATGTTTCATAAAAAATATACAATATATTTATAGAGGAAAAGCAGACAGAGCAAAAAAACACCTTGTCAGCCAAATTAATAATGTCAGCAACTGATAATGTCAGAGTTCTAGAAAGAAAAGAAAAAAACAACAACAAAAAATTGACATTTTAAATGATGTGAATAATGACACTGTTACAGGTCTGTTTTTATAACTTGGTTTTAACAAATCTTATGATATTACAAAACAAGGTTATTACAAAAATTATTTCAAAACAAGACGCTTTTTAAATAAACCACATCTGCCAATTACTGCAGAATTTATTGTCAGCCTACTTCCAAATCACAAATAATTAGAGTATCTCCGAACTTCTTTATTACTGACTACTACTAAGATAATTTTAAAAGTTAATAATCGGCTGTAGCAAAGTATCTAGCTATTTCAATCACACTATATCTGTCCTATTTTCTAACTGTCTTATCTGTTCTGTTTTTTTTAAAACCATGCAAACAATACAGAACTCTTGAGACAAATTTGAAACATCTTGTGATGCATCCATTTCCCTGACATGAATTTATAAACAACTACTTCCTAACATGAATGTACTTATCTCTATTTCCTGAATATTAACCTCAATTTCTTGACATAAATATTCCAACATCTATTTACTGACATGAATATATCAACCTCTATTCCTTGACATGAATATAACAACCTCTATTCCTTGACATGAATATATCAACCTCTATTCCTTGACATGCATTTATCAACCTCTATTCTTTGACATGAATATATCAACCTCTATTCCTTGACATGAATATATCAACCACTATTCCTTGACATGAATTTATCAACCTCTATTTACTGACATGAATAAAATTTTATCAACCTCTATTCCTTGGCATGAATGTATCAACTTCTATTTACTGATATGAATATATCAATCTCTATTCCTTGACATGAATATATCAACCTCTATTTCCTGACATGAATATATCAACCTCTATTTCCTGACATTAATATATCAACCTCTATTTCCTGACATGAATATATTAACCTCTATTTCCTGACATGAATAGATCAACGTCTATTTCCTGACATAAATATTCCAACCTCTATTTCCTGACATGAATTTATGAATCTCTATTTCTTGACATAAATATTCCAACCTCTATTTCCTGACATGAATATATCAACCTCTATTTCCTGACATGAATATATAAACCTCTATTTCCTGACATGAATATATCAACCTCTATTCCTTGACATGAATTTATCAACCTCTATTCCTTGACATGAATATTACAACCTCTATTCCTTGACATGAATATATCAACCTCTATTTCTTGACATGAATATATCAACCTCTATTCCTTGACAAAAATATATCAACCTCTATTTACTGACATGAATATATCAACCTCTATTTCTTGACATAAATATTCCAACCTCTATTTACTGACATGAATATATCAACCTCTATTCCTTGACATGAATATAACAACCTCTATTCCTTGACATGAATATATCAACCTCTATTCCTTGACATGAATTTATCAACCTCTATTTCTTGACATGAATATATCAACCTCTATTCCTTGACATGAATATATCAACCTCTATTCCTTGACATGAATTTATCAACCTCTATTTCTTGACATGAATATATCAACCTCTATTTCTTGACATGAATATATCAACCTCTATTCCTTGACATGAATTTATCAACCTCTATTCCTTGACATGGATGTATCAACCTCTATTTACTGACATGAATATATCAACCTCTATTATCTGACATGAATATATCTACCTCTATTCCTTGACATGAATATATCTACCTCTATTCCTTGACATGAATATATCAACCTCTATTATCTGACATGAATATATCTACCTCTATTTACTGACATGAATATATCAACCTCTATTCCTTGACATGAATATATCAACCTCTATTCCTTGACATGAATTTATCAACCTCTATTCCTTGACATGAATATATCAACCTCTATTCCTTGACATGAATATATCAACCTCTATTCCTTGACATGAATATATCAACCTCTATTCCTTGACATGAATATATCAACCTCTATTCCTTGACATGAATTTATCAACCTCTATTCCTTGACATGAATGTATCAACTTCTATTTACTGACATGAATATATCAATCTCTATTTACTGACATGAATATATCAACCTCTATTCCTTGACATGAATATATCAACCTCTATTTCTTGACATGAATATATCAACTTCTTTTTACTGACATGAATATATCAATCTCTATTTCCTGACATGAACATAATATCCACTTGTATATTATGGGCAGTCAAATACATGATACTTGGAGTTGAATGGGTATATGTCAGCAAAGGTATTAAAAGAGAATATTTCTTCAATATAAAACATATTTTAAGTATTAAAAGAAATATCACATTTCCTTAGCAAGCTACATCAAGATGAACACCAATACTGCTATAAGTACATTTGAACATGGAGTGGTAGGTTGTTTGAAATGCCATATGACAAACTTACCGGTTCTGTTTTTTCAATATCTTTATAACAGTTGTATTCTTTTATGACTGTTGCTAAGCACACTCTGTATGTATAGTTATGCTGTACCGGTCCAAACTTGATTTTCACTGTTGATCCAACTACTGTGAAATTAATGGTCATGCTCTCCTTAGTCTGGATAGGTAAGACTGAAAGATAAAAACAATGGTATTCATACTTGTAAAACTGTTAAATTTACATTTTGGAATTGTCATGTTTTCATATTGGATCCATCCATAAAGTGTTGCCACAAAGGATGTAAAAGTGAAGTTGTTGTTTATCTTAATGTATCGCAATTTGGTCAAGGATTTAAATTTGAGAAATCTGCAAACTAAAAATATTTAATGAGCCAATATCATTCTGTTCATTATTTCTTAAGTAAGAGAAATGGTATGAAAAATGTATTTAAGGGGAGATAACAAATGGTGATATGATTATGTCCCTTTGCTATTTCAACCAATGACATATCATTTTAGAGTTCTCCCAAAAGTCCTGTTATTTGTTTACAATGATCTAAAATGTGTCTCAGTACTTTTAATATTTACATGATCACACAAAACCAGTTCTGTAATGTCAGAACTTAAATCTTGCATTAATATTGATGTAGATTTTTTTCAGCAGATAATTATGCAAATCTCAAGAATCAAAACAAATAAGTCTAGTAAAAGAGGAAACAGACTGGTTCACAATGCACATTCAAATAACATTACTATGTAAATCTGTTTCAATGAGGTTTCTTCTCTTTTCTCCCGTATAAACTACATCTTTAAAGTACTATGTATATTTGGAAATAAAATACTAGTATACTGTCACAGCCAAGCTTATATTACATTGAAGTTAATTTTGTTTTCAAGGGAAAAAAAGAAATTCATCATTATACATTGTAAATTGTTTAAGTCAAATAATACAGATACTCCTAATGCCGCAAAATTGGATTTTTTCAACGTTATCCCAGGGGTACAAACAGATTTGGATAATTTTCAAGTCGAATGCATTGATCACTCTATTATGAACATTTCCATGAAGCTAATAAACAGTAAATAAACTCATGTCATTGACAAGAAAAACCAACGTTTGCAGTGTTCCAGAGAACATCTATTCTAAATGCTTCAACTTGTAAATATCAAATAACTTGTTTAAAGAAGATTCCTATACAGATTTATATTGTTTTGGTTAACACACCACCTGATAAATCTCTTACAGTCATGGACTTTATTGTCTTAAACTTCCATTTTGTGAACTGTCCATTACATGTATCAATTTTGGTGAGATGTACAGGCTGGCCAGTGGCTCTATACTGTTGACAAAGGCACCTCACTTTTAGTTCCAGCAAGGTCAAAGTTAATGTAGTTAGTTTATACTAATTTATATTAGTTCCACCATATTTTTGAAAACAACCAAGCAATGAGTGTAAAGTTTCTTGCTCTTGCCGCTGACGAGGTTTGAATCGACACGGCCAGCAATCCATAGACTACGTTAGTCTGATGTGTTAACCACTCTGCTGCACTGCCATACAACAAGTTAATGCTGTTGCAAGGGCCAGAGTGGATTTGATATTTTTGGTTACAAACAAGGTTTGGTGAAGTCATCCATACATAAACAATTTTTGGTATAAATTTAAGTTGTTTTTTTTTAGTTCATGTTTTTCCCTTTTTTTATTCTTATATTCTTTTCAAATTGCAGTAAGGATTAATTAGTACACATGAAAAAGTCCAATTTAATAATATTATTTGTAGAGTTTGGTGAAATGTTGCATTTCTTTTTCTTGAATGTCTTAAATAGATTGTAGTTCAAAGCATTTATAAGTCTGGCTTCAAAAGAACCAAAAACAAAACCATAATGTTTCTCATTATCCCCAAAAAGACCTTGCAAGAATATAATTAGTAATATTTAATTTTGATAAAATTCCTTAATTTCTAAATAGACATTGTTAAATTTTTTTTATTTTTTTTTTCTATCTGGCATCAAAATAGCAGCTAAAATAGAATGTTTTGCTCTTCTTTAAAAATAGAATAAGAATTATGTTAAATGGGACAGTGTTTCAGTCATTCTGACAATGAGTTTACAAGCAAAAGAACATTTTAAGTAAATAAAGTGCACATGTACTAGTCAAACCATGTGATGAATGTCTCTCTAACCATCTAACATTTTCCATAATGAACTCACCCTGCCATTTTTCAATTATGGTATTGATTGATCTCATTCACATATCATTTGTTGATTATCTCATTCACTTAATATTTGTTGATTATCTCATTCACATAATATTTGTTGATTATCTCATTCACATAATATTTGTTGATTATCTCATTCACATAATATTTGTTGATTATCTATTCACATAATATTTGTTGATTATCTCTTTCACATAAAAGTACTATTTGTTAATTGCTCTTATTCACATATTATTTGTTGATTATCTCATTCACATATTATATGTTGATTTATCTTATACACATATCATTTGCTGATTATCTCATTCACATATCATTTGTTGATTATCTCAATCACATAATATTTGTTGATTATCTCATTCACATATCATTTGCTGATTATTTCAATCACATATCATTTGTTGATTATCTCATTCACATATCATTTGTTGATTGATCTAATTTACATAAAATTACTTTTTGTTGATTGATCTTATTCACATAAAATTACTATTTATTGATTTATCTCATTCACATATCATTTGTTGATTGATCTAATTCACATAAAATTACTATTTATTGATTGATCTAATTCATATAAAATTACTATTTATTGATTGATCTAATTCATATAAAATCACTATTTATTGATTGATCTAATTCACATAAAATTACTATATGTATTTATTGATTAATCTAATTAACATAAAATTACTATTTATTGATTCATCTAATTCACATAAAATTACTATTTATTGATTTATCTAATTCACATAAAATTACTATTTATTGATTTATCTAATTCACATAAAATTACTATTTATTGATTCATCTTATTCACATAAAATTACTATTTGCTGATTTATATTATTCACATATAATTCATTTTGGAATGAACCCTTAATTTAAACCTGCTGGAACAAAAACTGATTAAAAGCTGCATGCCTCTAGATGAGCCAAACTTTAAAAAGAGTATTTCAAGCATTTTTTCCCTATTTTTAATGATTTAAGTGGATTAATAGTGCCGTTTGCAATCTGTAAATTACTGTTTTTTGTTCTCTTCACAATATTTTACTTTGAAACGCATTTTCTTAAATCTCAAAGAAATTAACATATATCTGGAGGCGTGCTGCTTTAAGCCTCTGTGACAGATCAGACTATACTTCACACTGACAATGCTCTTTATTTTTTCGCCTCCCAAACAATATCGGTGACCCCATTTATTCTCCCGGTCCCATCCAAATGATCAATATGGGTCTTAGATACTGTTTAGCTCAATTTTGATATTTAAATCCCTTAATTTACCTTGAATGGACTATTGTTCAAAATTCAAAGCAAAGCAAAGTTTCATCACACAAATTCGGCATGTTTAAGTTAAGGGTTCAAAGGTTTACCTCTAGTGACCTTGACATCCACTATTCTTGTATGTTTGGATATTGTAATTATGCACAATTAAGAACACATTACTCTAACAAACTTACAGGAGATTACCAAGGAGTCTGTTATTAGTCGGTAAACAGTTTCAACAAAATATCACATAAATCACTCAGTAATGTTACAAGTAAATTATCTTTAAATATTAATTAAATCATAATAACACACATTTATAACAATATGTGACAAAATTCTCATAAATAATTCATTAAAACAAGATAATGTTGATCAAGATTAAAGGAGTTTGGTTCAACATGAGGCCTATATGCCCTTAATTGCTTTACTTTAATATTCCACAAACATCTCACCACACATTTAAATATAATTGGTACAGAATAGGTTTTCAAATTGACTAAATTTCAAAAAGTCCAGCTAAATGCATAATTAATGAAATTCATATCACTGACCCAAATTTCCCACTCTTTATCATTAATCTGTAAGATGTAAATGTTTAAAACTTAGTTAAATTGCAAAAAACAACAGAATTGATGAAGAATATTCAATTTTTGCATTTTCTCCAAAACAACAAAATTGGTGAAGAATGTTCAATTTTTTCATTTTCACAGGCATGCAGCACATTTTGTTCTTGATGATCAAAGGGAGATATTTTATTTGACCATTATTGGCATGGCAAATGTGCCATATGCATGTGGCTATGATGGATTAAAGATATTACTACAAAATAAGGGGACTACTATAATTTTATATGTATAAATACAGCATTGAATTCTTAATATTTCAATAAACTTCTCATTTCATACATTGACTGGTATTTTCAGTGCTACTTTTAGAGCTGGGGATTGCAGAAACATGCTTCTATTGAAACAGCTAAGTGTCTCCTAGGGGAACTATGCCCTCAATATATCCTTCACTTTAATTTCACATCCTTTATGGTATTTATACTCTTTCTGGTGATATTGCTCCTTTACCTTAATACCTTTTTCTTCAGTGACACCATACATACTATGCATATAAGAATGGTACCACTTTTATAATTCAGCAGAATTGCAAAAAAATGGATTTGACAGTAAGCAGACAAAAAACAACAACCATCAATTGATAATATGTCTGTAAAGTCTACATCCCTTCTGAGTCCTGTGGTAGATCTAATAAGAGTAAATGAAAAACAATTTTCTTGGAAATATCCCCATCTAAATCTGAGATTAGTAGATGTAAAGAAACATTTTCATATCTTCTGAGAGTAGTAGATGTAAAGAAACATTTTCATGTATATTAAAGTAGTAGAAGGGAGTTTTAACACTATTATTGAGTTACTAATTTCTTCAGAGTTCCTTTGAATTTTATTGAGTTAAGGCCCCTATATCAACCAATTGTTTTGTTAAAGAAACAACACTGGGTACTATTTTAGACAATGAAGGATATAATCACTGAGGGAGATAATAAGATATAAGTCTCTTCACAACATTTCAATAATATTGTTTAGCAATATTGACCTGAGACATTTGTATGTTCAATGAACTTTTGTTAGTTACTAAATTATTGGATCCCAAAATAAACCATAGTACATATTTTAATGTGTGGTTCAACCTACCAGCATATCACTTGACTTACTAGCTTGTTGACAAGACTTAGGTGTAAAACCTTCAGTTAGTTTCAAATTGAAGATTGTAGG